ATATATATATATATATATATATATACTTAAATGTCTACTGGTCAAAATAGCGGAAATAAAAACATATTAATGTGACATACATTTTGTTTAAAAAATCTTACAATTTTTCCTGGCATCGTAATCAGTTAAATATTTTAAATACATTTTTTTTACAATTTTTTGCATGTTTTCCACATTATATATAGTATTACAATCATCCAGATTAATTAAAGATTCCATATCTTCGTAAACTTTATTCAAGGTCTCGATGTATATGCGTTCTCCCTCATCGTCCAGAAGCAAGTTCCACAATTACATTCGTTTCTCGCGTCCCTTGACGTACATAACATTATCTTCAATAGCATTATCTTCAAATATAGCCATTGTGATCAGAATCGTTTCGCCCCATTGTACGGGATCATCCCGTCCTCCTATCGCAATCCATAGTGATAAATATACAACCAGCAAGATCTGTCGGATCTTGTCAAAAATTTCCATGGCGGGACTCGTAAAAATGTAATGTGAGAGAATGATCCCCTGTTTCAGCTACTTCTTTGACGATAAAATTCTTGCGGATCCACAAATGTTGATATGACCATTACGAGCAATTCTTCAAGACTGTGATTTACCGGTTTTTCTTTTCCTTTTAAAGTTCTAAATGCTTGCTGATCTTGTAATTTACATAATCTTGCGCACTACGTTGAACAGTACTCGATTACACGATCGTATATAATGAGGCAGGTTGTAGTATTGGCGAGCACATTCTCCTTGCAGTCAAATTCTATGCGTACGTCCACAGTAATGCTCTTGACGGATTCGTTTTGTCAGAAATCAATGATCACAAAGGATAAATCTTTCTCGATAAATACGTTGAGCAGCGTTTCCAAGCAGTTGATTCTCTTTTTAAATCCAGATTTAAATCGTCGTAAGGATAAAATTCTGAATTTAGATATACTTTCACGTTACTCTAATTATAATCGTCGAACACGCTAACATCGTGCCATTCTTTCAATCGATCTGCAGAACAAAGATAGCATATCGCGGCTTCTCACAACTTCGTTGTTTTGACAATCCATGTTTAGTCGTATTCTGTAATTGAGGATACTCGTACAGATCTCACAAGCGAAAATTCATGCTCAGATAGCGATCGCTTTCCAATGTTCGCAGCATTGATAATTTATTGATTTCGTTTAACGCAACATGGGGCATCTGCCATTGCACTTTGAATAATTCAATCTCAGGTTCCGTCACAAGATTTCTCACCAAGCAATTGTAATCGTTGCTCGTATCAAAATCAATTCATGGCGAGCGTTGACGATCACGAGTTTGTAATGTAATCCTCGCAAAAATCCAACAGCGTATTATGCGGCACACAAAAATTAAAGTGTCCTTTCTCCATGTCGGATCTAAAATTCTATCCTGTGTTCAGGGCAATCAAAATTTTGTCTTACGTTATTGTTTTTGATACATAGTTCTTGATGGTCTGATAATTTTGACGTTTTTATTACGTTTTTACTGAATATTAACCATTTCGTATGATGAAACCCAACGACTTTGAAACCCAACGAATGCAACGTTGGACGCAGTGAGTTTCTTTCCATGTGTAGTCTTTCCAGTAAAAGATCTGAAAAATATAAAAGATCCAGTAAAGTATCTCTCGTCTGTTTCGGCTATTCATTCAACACAAGCATCTCACCATCATACATGCAACCTAACTATGATCTTTTCTCTCCGAAAATCAAGCAATCGATTATCTTGGTACACCACGCGAATTGTTAGATCTGTAATGCTCCGTACAACGATGGAAAGGTAAAGGATCTGCGTCGATTTTTCTGATATCTTATATCCCGATGACAATTCGGCGAAAATTTGTGTGCACACATCTGTCATTGTACGTACCCACGGTGCACTCGATACGTCGTAATGTTCACGTTGATTTATCGATACATCCGACTTGTGCCACTATCGCGGCTCCATCACGCGAAAATCCTAGCAGCGAACCAATGTGAGGTTTTGTAAAATTTATCTGATAGGCGCATTTGATCTCACTTCTCATCATATTGTTGTTGACGTGAATAACCAGCGAAAACTTTTTATCTTTCTTACCCTTCGCATCGTGAGAATGTAAAATTTCACACTTCAAATACCGCTCTATATCACACAGTTCGTCAATCTTTCGGAAATGATTTCCTTGTTGCAAGTAAAACTCGTTTGTTGAATTTACATTGGCTAGAATATAGTAAGTTTCAAAGTCCGTCAGAGCTCATAATCGCCGTCATTCAAATCTACCATTAGAAAGTAGCTCACGACGAGGGCTACTCTTGTCGGTCAGCGTAAACGTCAGCGACATGTTCAAACTGCTGTGGCTGCGGCTCTCTCTCTCTCTCTCTCTCTCTCTCTCTCTCTCTCTCTCTCTCTCTCTCTCTCTCTCAGAATCGAATCACTCGCAGTAATGCGTTTCCACG